CTAATAAACAAGAGACTCGATGAAGAGAGAATCAGTGAAAACTTTGCGTATTACCTAAACAAACTTGAAGAAGATCAGTAAAAACAAGACAACTTGATCGAGGTAACATCTTTAGTTTTCAGAAAAGAAATCGCAAGGAGACAGCGTGGGAAATAACGCTTCGAGTTGTATAGATTGTGTGTCAGGGGTAGAGTAAAATACCTGAACCAGGAGGGTAGGAGGCAGATCGTACGGGGAAAGAAGGAGACTGCTAAGACCCATAGGAATGGGATTAAGGGGTAAGAAGCTGAGAATGTCAGCGTGTGGTTTGGAGACTTCTCATGTAATCCACTATAAAGGGCACAGCATATCACATTTAAATTTAGAAATTGTAATCTTAAAGGTGTGATACGACCATATAGGATTAGTCAATAGCCCAGAGCAGAAGGAGACATATATATATTTGTTTAGCAGACTTTTGGTCAAAAGATAGACTTCACTGGTGCTAGAATGGCAAGGCTCAATAATGATGCCGAATACGATGCCGGCGATACTTCTTAGAATTTACCACGTCCACGGTTCTACTTTGAAAATTATCCTATGTTCTCCAGACTAGGTGCTTTTGTTTAGGTCTTCCTACCAATATGACTAAGTTACGAAATCAAGGTCAAACAAATATACTGTGAAAATATACTGGCTATGCAATAAGCTACACCATCTTGGTCTTAATATCTTCGATTAAACCATGCTGAGTAAGAGAGACCTTGAGGCATGCTCTCGTTTCCTCCAGTGCCGCATAGAATTGTGTGAATAAGTGGATGGGTCATATAAGGTGGGTTTGAGAGGACGAGATGCAGCACTAGAAGGTAGAACAAAGAATAGGGGCGAAGTATGATACCACAACGGTCGAATAGAAATCTGATTAAGGAGTTTGCCTTCACTTGTGACTGATAAGTTGTAACTCTCTACTCACTATGGCGCCTCTCACTGACGATGCCGGAGATACGTTTGGAAATATGCCCAACCAAGTGTCCAATGCTGAAAATCACGAATACTATGGCAGAAGACAAGCGACTAGGTACTTTCAACAAGGTCTCTCTGACGCTCCGACCAATTTTCGAAAACAAAGCCGAACCAACAATATAAAGCTGAAGGAGATTGCGACCAAACAGAAGGACAAACCACCTTGATCTTCATATCTACCATGTAGAGTAAGTTTAATGTAGTCAACCAAAACATGTGCTGCCTTATTAAGATTGCGAATCTGAGAAGGTGAATTAATAAGCTACTGGTGTTGCAGCCGGTCAGTTTTTCTCTTGATTTTATGAAGTATTGATACCTGCTCTGATGATGTCTGCCACACTATAGATGAAAGCTTAGCACATTTTAATCAGTGTTGCAGGTCGGGGATCTGAGGACTTCTTCGCACGATTCAACAATTTCTCTTACATCACAATCGTTCGGTTTTAGGTGAGCCCATATCACGAATTCCTTTCAACCAACTTTTCCTTCCAAATGGAAATTCATGTCACAATTGAACCTTGACTAGATTGATTTGATTTTTCACATATTTTATTTGCATCTTTTCTATGCCTTTGAAAATATCGCTGTTAAAACTGTGGACCTCCACTTACTGATTTTTCTTTTTCGGTCTGATCTTGCATACCTTCAAATTCCGGTATGTACTAAGATTTATTGCACACGTTCTTAATTATATGGTATTATTTTCGTCTTTGTGCTTTATTTCAATTAAATCAAACCACTTATTTTACTGAATCATCTTATTTGTTTATGACTTACAGCAGGTGGTAGTCCTCAACAAAGTATTAGGCATCATTGCAGGTACTCTTCTTCAGGAACACGAGGTTAGGCGCGATTGGTTTCATCCCGTGCCTTTTGAGCGCCTACTTGTTATGCTTTTTGTTGAACTTTATTCAACTTACCCCTCGTTACCTCCGCTCTCTGGACCATTTACTCAGGCCCCGACAGATAAAACCTCTTCCAATGAGGATTCTGTTGGTAGGCTTAAAGATATCCCTTTCACTGCTTCTGTCGCCACGGAAAATGCTAACATCGGACCTCACTCCAGAAGCTCTATTGGGGCAGGAGCGGCCATCGCAGTTGGCGAAACTCATACAAATAAGTCCGACCCTCCTTATGAATTTTCAGACGCCAAAACCAACGAATATGTGAT